GACCCGCGCGACGCACGCGCGACGCACGCGCCACGCGCGCGACGCACGCGCGACGCACGCGCGACGCACGCGCGACGCACGCGCGACGCACGCGCGACGCACGCGCGACGCATGCGCGACGCAGTCGCGACTTTGCCCGCCCCTGACATTTCTCCGAGCAGCGATGCGCAACGGCCGTCGGCCCGCCGTGCTTGCGCTGTTCACAAGTGGCGGCGGCTGCGCCATCCATTGCGCCAGGAAGGGCGGTGCTTGCCCCTGTGATTTCCCTTTTCCTTCCTCGTCGTCCCTCCTCTTTTGTCATTCCTCCTCCTCCTTCGTCCTCTCTCCTGCCTCGCCCCCCTCTCTCCTCCCCTTCTTTTCCTCCTTTCTACCAGCCTCCCTCTGTCAGTGCCTCCCCCCTCCTCTATCGTCTTTGTTTTTTTTCCCTTGCCGCCCCGTGCCCCTCTTCATTCTCTTTTCTCCTTCGGCCCCCCTTCCACGGCCGCGGCGCGTCACCGCGAGCGGCGCCCCCGCCTTCCGCGAACGGCCCCGCCGCTGGCGGTGGAGGAGGAAGATCACGAGGAGAAAAGGAGGGGGGAGGGGCAGGGGCGCGAGGCGGGCGCGGCGGCAAGGGCGGCCCGACAGGTGTAGGGGGCGGGGGGAGGGACGGAGTGGGCGGGTGCTTCTGTAATGGTCATGTTGGTGATCATGGTCGTGGTCGCGTTCGTCGCCTTGGTCGCGTTGGCGGCGGTCGTGCCGCTGGTGGTGGGCGGGCTGGTGGTGGTCACGTCGGTGATCGTGCTGGTGTCGGTCGTTGTGGTGGTCGCGAGAAGCGTGGTGGTCGTGGTGGTGATGATGGCGGTAAATGGTGTTGGTCGTAATCGTCGCGGTGGATGTGGTTGCGGTCGCATCCGTTTGTGGTGATCGTGGCGGCGGTAGTTTTGGCGCTGGCGGCGGTTGCGGCGGCTGTGGCGGCGGCTGGGGGGACCTGCTGGCCTATCGCCGGGCTGCGTTCAGCAGCATCGCTGAATGTGTAATGTTAGTGGGATTTGCAGATCTGCCGAGGTAGCCCAGCTGCCGCCTTCTTCTCGCCAAGAGGGCCGCAGCGTGGGCGACTTTCTTTTTCCCGAAGGCGATCAGCCTTTTTAAGCGGCCGTGGAGAGGGCGACGCGCGTGCGATCCGCCCCGTGGGCGTCCGCCGCGCTGGCGACGCACTCACCAAAGTGCCCCCTTGCGAGGGCGACGTGCGCGTTCGAGAGGGCGGCTGGCCTTTTCGGCGGCCGACGCACGGGCGACGAATGCGCGACGCACCTCCTGTCGCGAAGGGGGGGGGGGTCAGCACGCCGGTCGCTTTACTGGGCCTTAACACTCTAGACCGCTCAAAGACGGCCCAAGAGCGCTCCAAGAAGGCCCAAGAAACCCTCAAGAACTCTTTTTCGGAGCCCAGGAGGGCTCCAAATCGGTCCAAGAGGGGCCCGAGAAGCCCTCCAGACGGTCCAAGAGAGCCGGGAGACGCCGAAATATCACCCCAAAACGCCTACGATGGCCTCAAGACGGCCCAACAGGCCTTCAAGACGCCCCAAGAGGTCCCTAAGCGGCGCCCCAAGAGGGCTCCCACAAGCAAAAAACGCTTCATTCCCTTAGGAAAATGTGTATTTTTTACATATCCGCCTCTTCGTCTTTCACACCTTTCAAGGCGGTCCACGAGGCCCCCAAGATCACCCCAAGACGGCCCGAGAGACCCTCTAGACCGCTCAAAGACGGCCCAAGAACGCTCCAAGAAGGCCCAAGAAACCCTCAAGACGGTCCAAGAGGCCCCAAGACGGCCCCATGATTGAGGTCCACAGGGGCAACCTGAACGGAAATTTTGAGCCTCCCGCCTAAACACGCCCCCGAAATGCCCCTACAAGCCCCCAAGTAGCCCCACGAAGCCCCCAAGAGAGCCCCAAGAGGCCCCCAACAGGCCGCAAGAAAGCCCCAAGAGGCCCCCAAGAGACCCCCAGGAAGCTCCCAGGAGGCCCCCAAGAGGCCAGGCAGACCCCCCAAGAGACCACCAAGAGGGCCCACCCAGAGCCATCCACGAGGCCTCCCAAAGTTCCCAAGAAGCTCCCACGAAGCTTCCAAAGGCCCCCAAGACCCCCCAAGACCCCGCGATGGCACAATACGGGCCGGCGGAATGAGCGAAGCGATTCAATTATCATCCTCATTATCGTCGTCCTCGTCGTCGTCATCGTCCTCGTCGTCCTCGTCATCGCCTTCGTCGTCCTCGTTGTCTCTTTCTCATGGTCGGCCTCGTCGGCGTCTTAGTCGTTTCCGTTCTCGGCGTCGTGGTCGTGGTGGCCATCGTCGTCGTCTTCTCGTCCTCCTGCTCCTCGTTCTCGTCTTCTTCCTCCTTGTCCTTGTCTTCCTCCTCCCCCTCCTCCTCCTCCTCCTCCCCCTCCTCCTCCTCCTCCTCCTCCTTCTCCTCCCTCTTTCTCGTCGTCCTCATGTTCTCCCTCCCCATCGTCCTCCTCTTTCGACTGATGTTGTGGGACTTGGAGGGTCGGGCATGGATGGCATGCTGATGTGCACAAAGGTGACGCTTGAAGGCGATCGTATTGACGCTCTGGCTGGGCTGGGCTCTCTTCGCCATTCGTTGGTCTCGAGCGCACTGCGATCCTAGCAGGCGCGCTATGGTGCTAGAAGCCTCTGATGCGCTGACGACAAAATTGTTTTGCTCGTGGCCAGATTTCAGCATTCCTCCTCCTGTTGCGCGTCGCTGTGGTATCATCGTGACGCTCGCCTGCGGCATATAGTCGCAGGCTGCTTTGCTCGCGTGCTGGTTAATGATCACAGCAGAGTCCGACACTGTGTCGTGCACAGTGGCGCGAGCACGGCTGCCGTGGTCCTGGCAGGATCTGTTTTCCTTCTCCTCGCCGTCCAGTGGTGTCCATCGCGCGTGTGCTGCTCGATGGCGTGCTGTGGTGCGCGCAGGCATCACGACCGAACACTGCACAAGGCTGAGGTGCTCGCGAGGGCTGCGGTGGTTGTTGCCTGGGGCACGCTGCGGGCTAGGGGGGGGGGGCCGCTACACGACTCCGAGTTTCCTAATAAGCGTCGGGGGGGGGGGCGTCACCCCCACCGACAGCCCCACACCGACCCCCATCGCGGGCAGCCACCGCGCGCAGACAGGGCGCGACGACCCCCGTCGCGGCGCGACGAGGAGGCGAGGTTGACCCCCGTCGGGGGGTAACCCCCCCACTCTTATCAAGAAACCCATCGTATGCTCCACGCTCCCCCTCCCCATCGAGTGCAACGCCGGGTATGGCCGCAGGTTCAAAAGCGTGCTCCTCTCGTCATCCCGTGTCGTTGTTTGACGGTCCCAGGGCCCGTGGCGTGGCCCTCTGGTTCGAGGGCGGCGTAACATCTACGTGCCCTTCTTGTGGAGGACGGAGGAGGAGGAGGTGGAGGAGGAGGAGGAGGAGGAGGAGGACGAGGAGGAGGGAGGGAGGATGAGGAGGAGGAGGAGGAGAGGACAGAGAGGAGGAGGAGGAGAGGAGGAGGAGGAGGAGGGGAGGAGGAGGAGGAAGGACAGAGAGGAGAGGAGAGGAGGAGGAGGAGGAGGGAGGAGGAAGCGGAGGAGGAGGAGGGGCTTCCCCGCTCATGCTCACCTTCTTCCACCCTGGTGGGCCAGGGAGGCGGGCATGCATGCCGTAGACCCCCACGAAGAAGTGAAGGCACCAACGATGTGGAAGGGCGGTGACGCGACACCACCACCACCCTGGGGTCCACTTCCAGCGAGGAGGTCCACGAGACCTCCCCGAGCTGTGCTTCAAGCAGGCATGGGTGTCATGCCTCCTGCGGTCTCATGCTTTTAGTTGTCGCTCGAAGCTGTCAGGGCGTTCTTGTTTCCGTTTTCAGTTTTCGCACTCGGATCATTGAAAACGAAAATTAAACGAAGCTCGAAAAGTAACACAACGGCGCCACCTGGGAACGGAAACCTGCAACAATTAGCTGTTGGAAACGGCGCCCGCCAGATCCTCGCAAGGCCCCCGAAACGGCAAAAAAAACGGGCGCGCGCGAGCATGATGGGGGCAGCGGCATTCCCCTCAGGCGCTGTCGGAGGAGGCGCCCGGAGCGGAGGAGGCGCTGCCGTCTTCGACGGGCACGGGCTCGGCCCCGTCTACGCCCTCGTCTGCATCCGTTCCTCTTCCTGTCCGCTCCCTACGCTCTGCTTGGTGAGCGCTGCCATCCCGAATGGTCGGGCCCTGCTGGCTGGCACCCCTGACTTTCTTTAGACGGCTGCGTCGGTGGGGGTGGAGCTCCCGGAGAGATTTCCGGGGGGCGGGCTGCACGGGAGCGGAAAACGCATCGGAAACGGAAGAGAACGGAGCGCGGACACAGGGAGCAACGGTGAGTTCAAACATGGGGAAGGATGTTGCTTCCATTCCCCAACGCAGACGTCCCAGTCACTGGTGCTGGCCAGCAGGGGCCGCGTGCTCGGGATGGCAGCACAGCGTGCCCGGACGGGCCTTCCGAGCCCGTGCCCGTCGAAGACAGCAGCGCCGCTTCCGCTCCGGGCGCCTCCTCCGACAGCGCCTGAGGGATGCAAGGGGCCTCTAGCCCGGCCGCCTAGCTTGGGTGCGCGAGATGACCGACCACCTTTGAGGGGGAGATGGAGACTAAAGCGAGTCGGCAAGTGCAGCGGCAACGGACACAACACTGTTGCTACTTCCCGTCAAGACAGAAGTATAACGGAACACCGAACACCGAAATCAAACGTGAAAGCTCATAACGGAGCAACAACTCCTTGACCGATTCGAGAGACATCTAATCAGATCATATGCCCGCGCCGTGCTTCAGCAGAAGACGGGGACTGGAGCTCTCTCTGGATGGGCCGACGGGCCACACCACCAGGATGAGGAAAGCATGCCACCGAGCCCCATGATCCAGGAGGGAAAGAAACACACAGACACGATTAATCGTCGACTCCCGGGAAAATATTGGGAAATATGGACCCCCGTTGCCGCCGCCGACGCCAGGAGTCCCTCTCCGCCGCCGACGGCGCCAGGCACGCAGGGGGCGGCCACCTGGACGAGGACGCGTCGGGGCCGGGCTGGATGTCGGCTCTGGCTAGCGGCGCTCACGGCGATGACCTTGGCCCTCCTCCTCTTCCTCCTCCTCCTCCTCCTCCTCCTCCTCCTCCTCCTCCTCCTCCTCCTCCTCCTCCTATTTCGCCTCCTTCTCTTCCTCCTCCTTCTCTTCTCCTCATCCTCCCTCGCCCGCTCGTGTCCTCGTCCTCCCCCTCCCTCCACATGCCACCCTCATACCTCTTCGCCCATGATCTCCAGACCACCCTCAAGCCTCTTCCTCCTTCCACTCCCGCTCCTCCTCCTTGGCGGCGCGCAAGGGGGATTGGGGCGAGGGGGGACGGCCTATCAGTCGATCGGGAGCTTCTTAGAAGGCAGGGGCCTTCTCCCTACCTCCTCCTCGGCATCGCCCAGACGGGTGCGTTCTTTTCCTCGGCGAGGATCATCGTGGAGCATCCTGGATCATTTTGCGGAAACTTATCCTGGCGAAGGACCCAAGCATGTGCAGTTGTGACTACCGCCGCTGTGAAAGACGCCTCCGTTGGAGCTCACTACGGTGCCACGAAGCGCGTGAAGTGAGCGCCGAAATGAGGCGGGCCGCCATGCGGGCGCTGCCGTTGGGGCCGCCCGCAGGGGGCACGAGGTCAGAGGAAGCGGGTTACATGCTGACTCAACCCGTTGCGGCTGACGGGCACCTGGAGGAGCGGCAGAAGGCATGCAGGCGAGGCATGCGAACTCAGCTGGCGGCGCCTTCGGTGGAGCCCCCGATTGAGCCACGAAATGTGTGGAGGGGTGGGCCAAAGTGAGGAGGGTGGCGGCATGCGAATGCAGCCATTGTTGCCTTCGGTGGAGCTCCCCATTGAGCCACGAATCGTGTGGAGGGTGGGCCGAAGTGAGGATGGTGGCGGCATGCGAACACAGCCACTGGTGCCTTCGGTGGAGCTCTCCATTGAGCCACGAAAGGTGTGAGAGATGTGCCAAAGTGAGGGGGGCGGCGGTATGCGAACGCAGCCACTGGCGCCTTCGGAGAGGCCACGAAACGTGTGAGGGGTGCGCCAAAGTGAGGGGGGTGGCGGCATGCGAACGCAGCCACTGGTGCCTTCGGAGTAGCTCTCCATTGGGCCACGAAACGTGTGGGGGTGTGCCAAAGTGAGGGGGGTGGTGGCATGCGAACGCAGCCACTGGCGCCTTCGGCGGAGCTCCGAATGAGGCCACGAAACGTGCGAGGGGTGTGCCAAAGTGAGGGGGGTGGCGGCATGCAAACGCAGTCACTAGCGCCTTCGGTGGAGATCCCCACGAGGCCACGAAACATGTAAGGGGTGTGCCAAAGTGAAGGGGGTGGCGGCATGCGAACGCAGCCATTGGCGCCTTCGGTGGAACTCCCCATGGGGCCACGAAACGTGTGAGGGGTGTGCCAAAGTGAGGGGGGTGGCGGCATGCGAACGCAGTCACTGGCGCCTTCGGCGGAGCTCGCTATGGGGCCACGAAGCGTGTGAGGGGTGTGCCAACGCGAGGGGGGTGACGGGAGGAGAGAGGAGGGGGAGGAGGAGGGAGAGAAGGAGAGGACGGGACGCGGGAACCTCTCTTCAAAACGAGGACCCCACACCACAGGATGGTTGGGAAAAACGCAAGAAACCGACAAATGCACGAGGAATAGGCGTCCGAGCGATGGCAAGCCTCTTCTCAGCTTCCCTCCCTCCATCCTCTTTTGATTGGACGCTCCTGCTGCTTCTCCCCCCCCCCCTCGTTCTGGAAGGCACGGGCTCGCCGCAAAGGGCCACCCACGGTCCAGAGCTTCCCCTGGTGACGTTGGTCCCGGGAGAGCGGGGTGGAGTGGAGGGGCGATTGCGGGACGGCGGCATGACGGCCGAAGTGTGCACACAGAGCGGAGAGGGGAGAGAAGGGACTAGGAGGGGGGGGGGAGAATGGAAGAGGGGAGTCTGAGGGCAGGAGAGGGTGTGGAAGGAGTGGGGGGAGAGGGGGCGCGAGGGAGGAGGCACAGGGGGAGGGTGGCAGGGAGCGGGGCAGGACGGGGGCCAGTCACGGGGAACAGGCCGGGATGATCTCGAGGTCTCGCCGAGGCCGGCGCTTCGAAGAGCACTGTGTGAGTCCACGCCTCGCCGGCGTGCGGCTTCTCCTCGCCCCCCCCCCCCCGGCGGGGCGCCACGGAAGGGGGCGGCTTGCGCGAGGCTCCGAAAGTGTGCTGAGCTTGAGCTGTCGGAGGTCGTGCGGATCTCGTGCGTCGTGGCTGTGGCGCCGCTCTCCGCGCCCCTGCCCCGGCGCGCGCAGCGCGCGGGGGGGGGCGGCGCTGCAGGCGTCGCCCGGCGCTGCGGGGTGAGGGAGCCGCGCGGCCCCCGAAGCGGGTCGCCGGCGCTCCTGTGCTCCAGAAGGGGGCCGATGCTTGACGAACGAACTACACGCACCCATACCCATAGGGAGGACGGAGGGGGCTATGGGTGCGTGTTGTCGGATGGGGCTCCCCGCTCGAACGGGAGACTCCCCCGTGGTCCGACAACCCGCACCCATACCCATAGCAAGTCCTCCTCCAGCCGACCCCCCTATGGGTATGGGTGTGTGTTGTCCGTTCGTCAATGTTTGGTCGGGCCGGACGAAAGGGGGGGGATGGGGAAAGAGGGGGTTAGGAAATCTGCTGCGTGCAGCCGGTTTCGGCACCACCGAGGGGCCCAGTCCTCGATGCACGGCCGTCTCCAGCGCCGGGAGGCGCCGGGAAAATCGGCTGCGCGGGCTGATTCTCCCCCCCCCCTTTGCTATCCCCCCCCTCGCCCAGCCCGATGTGGCCACCGCCCCCCCCCCCCGCGGACAAGCTCTTTTGCGGAGTTGGTGTGCAAGCGTCGTGCCCCCAGGGGATGCAATGTTTGTGCCCACCCCCCGCTCCCCTCGCTCCGCGGTCTTGTGCCGGACGTGTGCAGTTTTCCTTCGGCGAGGACCATCGAGGAGCATCCTTGCTCCTTTGGCGAAAAAGCCACGCACGAAACCGACAAAAACGCAGGGAATGGACGTCCGAGCGATGGCCAGTGGGGGCTGCCGGAAGAAAGGCAACCGGGAGGAGGAGGAGGAGGAGGAGGAGGAGGAGGAGGAGGAGGAGCAGGAGGAGGAGGAGGAGCAGGAGGAGGAGGAGGAGGAGGAGGAGGAGGAGGAGGGGCCAGGAGGGCCCCCGGTGCTGAGGTCTGGGTCGGGGAGCCGCTCCGTGGCCGAGGCTCGCCGTTTGCCAGAGAGCCCGTGCGTTCCGGGAGGGGAAGTGAGCACAGGCATCACTACTCCAGAGTTCGTGATAAAAGGGAGGGGGTCTCATTTCGGGGGGGGTCTCTTCCAGGCCATCTTGAAGGGCCTGGGGGGGGTCTGGGGACGATGTTTTGGAGGGTTCTCCCACGGGGGAGGTCTGAAATGGCTTGTCTTGGAGGGTCCAGACCCCCTCCCTTTTATTACGAAATCTGGAGTACACGTGGACTGCCCTTGGCATCGCTCGGACGTGTGCAGTTTTTTCCTTCGGCGAGGACCGTCGAGGAGCATCCTTGATCATTTGGCGAAACAACCACGCACGAAGCCGAAAAAAACACACAGGGAATGGACGTCCGAGCGATGGCGAGTGCCAGGAAACATTGGAAAGCATGGGGGAATGGAGGGGGAGACGAACGTCCATGAAAACAGACTGACGATATGGGGGATCCTGGAATATGTGCTCTCCCTGGGCCCCTTTATTTTAGACGCCTCGCGTGACGGAGGCCGGTTTGAGGTTGCGCCCCGTCGTTTTAGGTTAATTCGTCGTTGCGTGCCCCGCTTTGACTGGACCCGCCGCTGGCGCGCTCGCCTGCGGCCGCTGACTGAAAAAGTAACGGAGGCCGGGATAATTACACACAGTTTTCCCAGGCAGCACAGAGGATTTGGGCTCGTCCACTCTCAATCCCAATCGATATCCAATGTTCCACCTTTGAGCCTACATCCTCCATCTTCGATTCGACATTCTCGATCCTCCAGCCTAGGTCCCGATCGAATCTCTATCCTCCATTTTGCAGCTCTGTCCTCCGTACTCGACCCTCGATCCCGATCGATCCCCAATTCTCCAGCCTTGACCTTCGAACTCCCATCATCGACCCGCCGTGCTCGATCCCGATCGATCCCCGATCCTGTAGCACCCTTGATCATCCAGCCTCGACCCTCCACCCTCGACCCTCGACCCAGATCGGTCCCACATCCTGTATCCTCGATTATCCAGCATCGTTTCCCGAATCCTCGATCCTTGTCCGGGCGAGCGTGGTGCGGTCGGGTTCGCTTTAGTAGGCCGACCTTGCGAAACCAAGGGTACGGTAGGTTCGTGCGTCGTTGGCGCGCTGGCGACGCCGACGAAGGCGTTCAAGGTTATATTTTGCGACGCGGGAACACCGAGGGCATAGCAACGCCACTGGACCCGACGGAATTCAACCTTGAATGGTCGGGGCCGCGATCGATTCAAGGATGAAAGATCGAGGCGGTGTCAAAAACCTTTGCGCGCACCGACGCCGCACGAACCTACGGTAGCCTTGTGTCCTGTCTAGCGCCTGTCGTGCCTTTCTCGTGACTGGAGTGCGGGTTGTCTTCTGGAAGGGTCTTGTGCCGTCTCGGGGTGCCCTCTGCAATAGATCTTCCCGACCGCGCCAGATATAAGAATATCAGTCTGCCAACAGGCTTGGCATCCTTCGGGCGTGCGCATTTTTTCTCGGCGAGGGTCATCGAGGAGCATATTGGACCATCCTGCGGAAGAAAACACGCATGAACCCGAACAATGCAGGAATGGACGTCCGAGCGATGGCAAGCAGGTGCCCCGCCGAACATGTGTCATCCCCTGGATGCAGGAGTTGGGGCCGTCTGGGAAGTTTCAATGTGGATGACGACTGTGTTCCCATATGTCCCACAGAAAAATATATGTTTGTATGTTCATTCGCTTGCGTATGTGAATCGTTGTTGAAGCGGTTCTCCATGCTTCCGGATATCGAGCACCCCTTGTTCTTATCGTATAGCATGACGCGGCCGCCTTGAGCGAAAGGCGGATGCATTTGGTGCCAGATGTCTCTCCATCGCCTGGCTCGTCTACGGCCGCATGCACTGGGCTTCCGCATGTGTATCCAGCGCGTGGTTTCTGGATGCCCCACGCGTGTATGCAGCCGTGTGTGTTTCCAGTTTCCTGGTCTAGTTTTTATCGTTCAGGATGAAGAGACTTCTGCATGCACGCGAACGTTCGGAGGTGCACACGGATTCTGGGATCGTCGCTGGACCCCCCGGGCGGCGTCGCCTGCTCCGCTTCAAGAGGTGCCGCCAGGGGGTGTCCAGCTCCGACCCCAGAAGTCCGCGCGGACCTCCGGAAGTTGATGCTGATGCTGTTCGCTCTTCCCACATGTCTGTGTCAGCGGAGCCGCCAGCGCGTCAGATGGAGGAGTAGGGGGAGGACAGCGGACGAGGACGGGGGGGGGCCCAGGGCGGAGGTCGCATACTCGTAGGGGTGACCCTTCGCCGGAGTGACCCTTTGTGTGGGCCCAGAGGGGCGGCTCCAGCATTGGCCGGATCTGGCCACCCCGGCTCCCCCGAAGGCCGCGGGGC